AAAAACAACGGCGAAGCTTCCTTGGTTAATTTTCTAAAACACTAGTGTCAATGTTCTTAATTAATTTAGTGTTCTGACATCTCTTTAAATATCGATCGTGTAAAAATTCGATCTCTCTTTCTGCCGACGAAGATCGAAACAACATTATTAATTAATAGTTAATACAGGGAAAAATTCAATATAAACATCGTCGTTGCAAAAGGAAAAAAGTCCCTGAAAATAAAGTCCGTATAATTCCGCGATTGTTCGATACATTTTAAGTACACACCTGCATGTGTATGTAAGTCGATAGCGTTTAAGGTCGGCTTGAGGTTCTTCTTTTCTTTCCTTTTTTTCTCCTTCTTTCTCTTCTTGTTCGCAAATCAAGCTTTTCACAGCTTCCTAGAGGAGCGTGGAGGAATTAAGTCGCGTGAAACCAGGCTCAGAAACCGCCTCCGACCGCTGTGTAGTTCAATATTTCAAAGGGTTGGGAACTTTAACGTGTATCTGCCCCCTCTATCTTCTTTTCACCCTGTCCCCCCCTCTTATCCTCCCTCTATCACTTTGCAAAATTGAAGCGAAAGCTTTTACCATCTCCGTCTACAACTACCTTTCTGATGGAGACTGCTGCAAGAAACTGTATCTAACAATAATTTAGTAATAAAGGGGAATGCCGGTAATGTCACGCGCGAAATTCACTGTAGAAGGTTGCGAGATAGGTGTGTGTGTGTGTGTGTGTGTGTGTGTGTCTATCGAAGTATTACGGTCGTGGTATTACGTTTTTATCGAGGATCGGTTCAAACGTGAAACTGCATCGTGTGACTTGCTTATACGCTGTTACACAGAATGTTTTATATCGTGTTTGTTTCCCAGTACGATAATATATAGAGGAAAACATTATCCCCTAGCGTTTCGTCTAGGGATCCCTATATTCCACACGTATTCTTTCCAACTGAAATCTCTCTCTCTCTATATATATATTACGTAACATGTCGCATAGATGTCGCGATCAATGTGTAATATGTCACGTCACGGTTAATATTTCATTTTATTGCTGGATTATTGAAACAGTCCGGCTGTGCGTGGGATATGACAAATTGTTTGCTCGAGGTTTGAGAACCTCGTCAGGGCCCCATCCATTCGGCTCACCTTGGGTCCGTCCAGTTAACCAGTTTGGCATTCCTGTTACAGGCGAAGAGCGGTGGTTCGCCCGTGGTTCAACCGACGATGAGCCTAAAAGAAGCGGTGCCGTGCAATGAAAAGTCGCTGGAGCCGAGGAGGGCGCAACGCGGCGATTACTGGGTCCTCTATAATTACGTGCCGATGAGCATGGCGGTGAGATGCTGGGAAAGCGTGACGTACACCACGCACGCGGATTACACGTTCCTGGACAATCTAGAGCCGTTGCTGGAACGATGGAGGGCGCCGATATCGATTGCAATGCACGCCCCCGGCACAGACTTCGCGGCGACTCTCGACGCTATCAAGTACTTGAGAAACTGTGGCAGCCCTCTGGTCCCCCAGCTGGTCACCTTCCACGTATTCTTCAGCAGCAAACACGTGCCAAAAGTGGTGAGTACGGTGGTGACGTTTTGTCGTTCTTCCCCTCTCTCTTTCCCTCCCCTCTCTTTTGCGCATCTGTTGGCTCGAGTTTGAAGGTGTTGAAATTGATTTATCGCAGTTGGTTCTTTCAGCAGTGCAACTCTCGTTTCAGAGAATGGAAAGTAAATTAGGAATTTAGGGTTTCTTTTTTTTTTTTTTTTTTTTTAGTTTTCTCAACAGTTACGAGTTTAACTTAGATTTTCTCGTAATTTTACAAGGAAGTATGACAATGAGCGACATTCAGGTTCCATTATCAAATAGTCGGTATGAATTACATTTTCAACTTTATTCCTCCAATTACAATGATTCTGTGGTTACACCTCAACCGCTCTCAAAGGACTCACAGAGAGCAAATAAATTATGTTATCTTGCACAGAAAATCCTCCAAAATGATTTCGATTTACTATCCTCTACGCGCTTACCAAAGCGCGTTCTATAACTTCCAAAAGCTTCACTGGTTGCTCAACCAACACCTTGGGTCTCACAGCGCAGCAGATCCTCTGTTTGCCAAATCTCAGCTGAGGATACTTGAAGAAAGCTGCCAGAGCCTCTGGTTCTGCCAATAGGAAACAAGAACATTGTGGATCTAGAATCAGCTGTTCTCTAAAAACAGGCGTCACAGGGGAGACAATTTCCTTTTCCACCTCAGAAACAACAACCCCGGGCTCTACGATTTTCTCCGTTCGAGTGATCTTCTCGACAACCGGCATGTCCACCTCCTTCACCGAAGGTTGCACGATGTTCACGTTAGTTTGAGAACCACCTTGACCAGGATGGATCACCTGAACGGTCTTGGTGTTGTGAGGGCCCATTATCACATTCGCCGACTGACCATTTTGAATGCTGAACGACTGAACTTGCGAACCTGGCTTGACACTGAAAGTTTGAAGAGGCTGGCCTTGAATGCTCAGCGTTTGGACTCCCTGAGAACCTGGCTGGATGTTGAACGTTTGAACAGATGGCGATCCTTGAATACGAATAGTCTCAGAAGGCCCTGACGCTGGTTGAATGCTCAAAGTTTGAACAGGTTGCGGCCCTTGGATGCTAATAGTTTCAGAAATCCCTGCGCCTGGCTTGATGTTCAATGTTTGAGCAGATTGAGGGCCCTGAATGCTGAGAGTCTGAACCGGTTGTGGATTGTGGATGTTAATAGTCTCAGATATCCCTGATCCTGACCTGATGTTAAATCTCTGAGAAGATTGAGGACTCTGAATATTCAGAGTCTGAACCGGTTGTGGATTCTGGATGTTAATAGTCTCAGAAATTCCTGATCCTGATCTGATATTAAATCTCTGAGGAGATTGAGGACTCTGAATAC